TTATTTCTTATTTTTCCCATCTCTAAAAAAATAAAAGTAAAAAGTAGACATTCAGCTACCAACTAGCTGTCAAACATAAACTAACCAATTTTTACTGATAATTTCTACCATTGGCTTCTATCTTAAGGCGCAGAAGACAAAATAAATTAAGCATTTCTTGTGGTAAATAAGCATCAAAAGCAGTGCTAACTGCAAGTTTACATATTATGTATTTACAAAATAACAACTATTTATGAAGAACTTCTTTAGATTCTTTTCTTCTCTCTCCCACAAAGTAACTAAACAAATGAAAGGAAAAGTCATATACAGCCAAATAGCAAGAAATTAACCACAAACCAACCAGAGAGACATCTTAGAGAACAAATAGTTGAATGATTCTGTCAAGACATTTTCAATGATTCTGGATCAAGACATACGCATGCTCTTGCAAATGTGCATGTTCTTTATGCTCTTGCTAATTATTATGTGTTCTTTACCATATGCATAAATTAAGAACCCTTGCCCAGGAACTGAAAAGAGAAATCATAGGCCTAGATTTTCACACACACATGCGCGCGCGCACACAAAGTTGATTCTGAATGTTGAGTCAATTCCATTTGCCTTACTTCACCAATCAGGAGTCCTCTGTATAAGTCCAAGAGCTTAAAAAGCAGTCGAACATCTCTGCCATTAGCATGTAATGAACTTCCTATATTGATGACATACGTAGGTCATACCGAAAGACATGGGCAACTTTTTTTGCATGCAACCTGGGAACAGCAGACAAAAGAGAGTACAGTGGTAGGTGGAACCAACTATTGTGTTAACCTTGAGTGTCTTGTGACGTCAACCAGCATCGAAGATGAGCCTCAGAGCCGTCATCCTCGAACAGCCTCAACTGAACACAACAAAGAAAGAGTGGATGAGATCATTCAAGATGACAGGCGTGTGACTGTGGACACAATAGCCCAAAAACATGGAATAAGGCACAGTGCAGTACAGGAGAGGATTGAAAGCTTGGGCTATAGGAAAGTTTGTGCTCGTTGAGTCCCGCAGTTATTGACCAAAGACCACAAAGGTCAGCGAAAAGCCATCACCTCATAACTGCTGCAGAGATATCGACATGAAGGCGATGATTTTTTGCTCTGTATTATGACAGGTGACGAAAGCTGGTTTCACCATTTCGAGCCTGAAACGAAACGGCAGAGTATGGAATGGCACCATTTGCATTCTCCATCAAAAAAGAAGGCAAAGACAGTGCCATCAGCTGCGAAGGTGATGGGCACAGTCTTCTGGGATGCAGAAGGGTTTATTCTGGCCAAATTCCTGGAAGCAGAAGGGTTTATTCTGGCCAAATTCCTGGAACCTGAGCAAACCATCAATGCTGCTCGTTATGTCCACATGCTGCACAAGCTCCATAGTGCGTTGCGCGATAAACGTCCGGGACGAAACATCATCATCCTGCATGACAACGCTCAGCCCCATGCCACTCGCCTCACATTGGAAAAATTGCAAAGATGGGGTGGGAAGTTCTTCCACACCCTTCCTATAGCCCTGATCTGGCACCCTCCGACTTTCAGATTTGTGAAGGATCAGCTGCGTGGACGTTTTGAGACAAGGGAAGCAATTCAGAAAGCAGTGCATCAGTGTCTTCGGATGGCTGGAATGGAATTTTACGGAAGGGGAATTTTCAAACTCCCAGAACGCTGGGAGAAATGTGTACAAAGAGGTGGCAAGGGGAATTTTCAAACTCCCAGAACGCTGGGAGAAATGTGTACAAAGAGGTGGCAATTATGTGGCAAAATAAAGAAAGGTCTGTAGATTGATGTGGTGTATTTGGTTTGCCAATAATAAAGCATCTTGCTTTACAAAAAATTGTTGCCCATGACTTTCAGTACGACCCTCGTACATTGCAAGCATGTCAATAACATTATTACCAAAATCACATTTATTAATTTCTGTGATTTTTACAAAAGACTCTCACCAAGCACCACTACAAAACCACAAACACTACCATACCACACATTCAACACAGCTTAGTTCTCTATAAAACATACAATCTAAACATTATCTCCATAAAAGCCTCCCAGGAATTTTTTGCAAGAGTTCTCACACCTACTCTTAACAATTACCCATATACAGGGTCCGGCAAATCGACCTCCCGTATTTGGAGAGGGCGCTGTGTGAGTTGTGGTGGGGATACAACGGCGGAGGGGGTATCGATCGATAGCGGTATAAGTGCCATTTGCAGTAGTNGGTATAAGTGCCATTTGCAGTAGTCACAATGGCGTGGCACGGTGAGCATCGTGCGTTTGTTGTGGAAGAGTATATTCGTAATGGTGAATCGGTGATTACTACTCAGCGAGCATTTCGCATTCGGTTCGAACTTGGCCGACATGATCCTGTTCCGGATAGAAAAACTATTCACGTTTGGGTATCAAACTTTAGAGCAACGGGTTATGCACTGAAAAAGAAATCGCCTGGCCAACCTCAGACCGTAACAACGCCGGTAAATGTGGCGCGTGAGAGCGTCCATCCAGCAATCTCCAAAGCGTTCAGCACTTAAACATGCAGCTGCCCTGGGATTGTCTGATAGGAGTGTAAGAAGAATCCTGCACAGAAATCTACACATGCACCCATACAAAATGATGGTTACCCAAGAATTAAGTGAGAGAGATTTTGAAACTCGCAAAGCTGCGTGTGAGGACATTCTTCAGAACATTCCCTCTGGCGCTGTTTTGATTTCATCTGATGAGGCCCACTTCCACTTGTCAGGTACTGTAAATAAACAAAATTTCCGCTACTGGTCAGCAGAAAACCCTCAGGAACTTCACCAACGACCACTTCACAGCCCTCGTGTGACAGTTTGGTGTGCCGTTGCTGAATTTGGTGTGTGGGGTCCTTATTTTTTCGAGGAAAATGGGCTAATGGTAACGGTTACTTCGAATCGCTACTGTCACATGATCAAGACCTTCCTCCGACCTAAGTTAAACCAGTTTGTTGGGGACCATGAAGAGGGACAAGCCTGGTTCCAACAAGACGGAGCCACAGCTCACAATTGGCTGTGTGTTCTTTAGCAATTCTGAGAGAGTTGTTTCCTGGACGTCTTCTCTCCTTGCGAGGAGACATCGCCTGGCCCCCAAGGTCACCCGATTTATCACCTTCTGATTTTTTCTTTGGGGACACTTAAAGGCGCAAGTGTACAAACATCGCCCCACAACCCTGCAAGCACTTAAGGAGGCAATCACCCAGGCAGTGGCTGCCATTCCACCAGAAATGACACGAAGAACTATGGACAACTTCAGGGAAAGGCTTCGTCAATGTGTGAACAATGGAGGACGCCATTTACCGGAAATAATTTTTAAAACCAAGTAATGTAAAATAGCATCATATTTGTTGTTCATAAATAAAAGTATTTTTTCTGTATCTTTCTTTGTTTGTTTGTAACTGCCTTTTGAAATACGGGAGGTCGATTTGCCGGACCTTGTATCATATTTATTACTGTCTTCTATATGTATGTATCACATGCTTACAAAAAAGACATCTATAAAGCTTCCTCTCCACATTCAAAATATAAAAGTTTGACGATATGTAATCAAAATTGCCAAAACATGAAACCTTTTAATTATTTTATAACAAAAGTTACATTTGACTGACATCTATACTTTTATATATATCCAATTAGTAAAACAGGAATCTGTCATTCACTCTTAAATTTCCGATTCTGCCACAATTTTTCAAAGTTTCTCTTTTACTAGGGCTATAATTATACACCACGCTGAAATCTCTCCCTTATTTGTAACTATCGAATTGCTTCGCTGAAATCTATGACATTACCGAACAGAAAAGCATATTTTTAGACAAGTAAGACTATAAATGATTTGCATTTAACAGCTGTAAGAACGATAACAGAAAGAACAAAAAACACTGCTTTGAAGTTAGCTGTATGGCTGATGAGATGATCAGAAAAGACGAAAATGAATTATGAAGGCCAATTTTAGAAAATAAGCAAGCAGTTCAACTACTCCTGCCTGGCTGAAAGTTAATCAATTAATTTTGTAAGAAAGGCCAACTTGAACAGAATCTGACACAAGATGTGTTAATTAGCACATACGACAAAGTTTGGTAATATCGTGAGTGTATGGGCTGGTCAGAAATCCGCTACAAATATCGGCATTGCAGTAATATGTCTGACTCACCATGGAGAGATATACTGTTCAGTTCTGACCATGGACAAATTGTCCTGGATCATTTCTCTTTCATGTTTCCGATTTGTATATCCTAATAATAATAATAATAATAATACCTTAGAATACAATGGAATAGGTAATGATCATTTACTTCCACACCATCTATCACTACTATTCTTTCTACCATAATCTCATTCGTTGTTGCTTAATCTCAGTTGTTTCAGCACCTTAAAAGAACTGAATAAACAACAAACCATCATACCATGTAACCATAAACACACATGCAATATTATATAATAAAGTAACTCGAAGTACAATTATAAAAGACAAGTCCGTCCAATGTGACTATTTCAGTTTTCTCACTTGATGATTACACAGCACAGCGGGCCAAGAAATCATAACGGACAATATTAAGAATCTCCCTACTCAAGTTACATAGGCAGCACAACACCGGCCACCTTGAAATGAGACGACAGAGGTCACTGACATGAACCATATGGTTTATGAATTTTAATTTTTAACAAAGTTTTTAAAACTTTAAAACAACTTTAAATATTTCTTTAACCAGAAAGGCTGCTGTGACAGATGGAACATTGTGTACTTGGACATTACATGTGTATTTGATATGACAACTGTTGTGATAGTGGTTTCAAAAAAGTGTTTGGTGCCTCTGAAGATGATCCAAATGGATCGAAACATGTAAGGCTAGTGAATCACTGAGTGAGAAAACTGAAATAGTCACATTGGACGGACTTGTCTTTTATAATTGTAACTGTCAGTGTGACGGACCAAAATGAAACAAATCAAAAATAACTTGAAGTAACTTCTTACCTGTTATTCTTAGTCTCGTTTTCAACACCATCCTTGTCATTGAGCAGATGTTGATCCTTGGAAGGTGTGAGGTTGTTGTTATTGTTGCTGTTGTTATTATTGTTATTATTGTTGTTACTGTTACTAAGAGAACTACTGGACACAACATTCACAATGGCAGTTGCTGACACAGAGGAGCCAGGACTTGATGAGGTCACAGAAACTGTTAATATTGATGATACTACTGTCGAGGGGGCAACCGTTGTCACAGTAACAGATGTTGAGTTTGTGATTGTTGCTGTTGTCGACGTAGTTGTTATTGTCGCTGACAGCTGGGACTGTTCTGAGGCAGTGGAAATGGCAGACACTGAAGTGGCTGTGGAAGTAGATGAAGAATTTGAAGTAATGGCATTAGATGTTGTTATCAGGCTAGTGGTAGTGCTGGTGGAATTGCACGTTGACATCACTGCTGTAGTTGTCACAGCTGCACTGGCACAAGTAGCACTAGCACTATTACTAGTGTTTGAAGCACTACTATTAGGCTGTTCCTGTTTCTGTTGCTGTTCTCTTTGTAACCGTGTAGTAACACCTGTTGGGCCACTAAGAACATCCGCAAGATTATTTTGAGACGCACTCGATGGTTTCCCATGAGGATTGTTCCGACTTGCTCGTGTCCTCTGCCGTGACTTTCGAAGCAACTGCTTGTAATTCTCAGTCTTCTTAGTCAAGTAATAATGTTGGACACAATCACATACACTTTTTCGGTCCAGGTACGTTTTTATCACACCAAAGTTTTTTGGATGCTGAAGATATTTTTCTTTAAATATATCGTGTTCTGTCGCTGTCCAAACATTCAACAACTGACGCTCATTATATTCCCCAGCGAAGTCCTCTATACGCCCATTATTGTTAACATACGTCACCCTCCTCTGCCGAGCATCTAGCAGAATTGGTGGAATAACTGCATAGGAACGCATTTTCTTGTCCTCCATCTGAAAAACATAATAATCAGAATGCTTTAAGCAATTAAGTCCGACAGAAGACATATACTGACATAATGGTTTGTTTTAAAATTTATCATAAATCTAATAGTAATATTATCTATTGTACACAAGAATACTAGTCTTCCCACCAGATTCCATTTCTTCTGCAAGTTCTATTACTCTTTCAGCCATTTTAACAATGTTTAACAAATTTAGGGGGGAGGGGGGAAGCAACAGAAGGAATGCACACACACATGTGGCACGCATGAACGCGCAAACATATATATGTATATGCAAGATATATCAGAATAATGTTACATTTCTCTTTCTCTTGTCCTTTATTTATGATACTAATAGCAGAAAAGTACAACAGTAAGTAGAAATGGTAGTACAGAAATGCTTCCAAGCACTTACAATGCCAAACGATAAAATGCAATATGGTAATACTATTCCAGGACTTTCTATTAATCTCTTCAATTGTGGCCATTTACTTAAGGTTTAGGTGGTCAGTAAAGACCACTGACAGGCTACACAATAGCTCAGGTGACCAGTAAATGACTTCTCTCAGGGAAGGCCTACATTCAATGCCTGCATAGTTTATGCAAGATCTGTCATACTTCAGTTATCTCATGCAAATTATCACTCCACCAATACTCCATTCTCTACCCATCACTTGCAGGTGGTACAATAGGCCCATTTTCTTCCATAGTGCCAAGGACGTCAGTCTCAGCCACCCCCCAAGAATAAAATAAACACCACTAAGTAGCCTGAAGTTAAATGCCAGGACTGGTATTACTGGTGCAAGTTCTTATTTAAAAAAATTATACCTTCAATAAATCGGGCTATATAACAATGAAACAAAAAGTTTCTTTTAAAGTAAGATACACTGTCATCAAACTGATTTCCCTTATTAGAGAAGGATACTGGAATATAAGTTAATTTGTTTAGAAACTATTGTACTGCATAGATTTGCTCTATATTTATGCCATAAAAATACCAGTTTTATACATAAAATCATGTTTTGCATCTACTTACAAGAAGGTCTTGTTGCTCATCATATAGATTTAAATTTGCAGTGGGCAACTTCCCAGGCATTCATACCAGTCCAATATTGCACATTCAATCACAACACCAAGTATAAAGCCACTGTACTACAAACAAATCCTTACTACACTGCAAACAGATAAAATGTAACTTAATGTGTCATTACACTGTTCAACTGATTTTCATAAACACCCCACAAAACAAAACTGGACTCAGCAAGAGCATACATAATCTAATCACTAAATTCACAATGGTTTATCACATATCACTGTTCCACAACTTTATAAAAGTTTGTTTTGTGTAATATTCCTCAACACACAGACACAGGTAAAGTGAGATGCCACATCTCAGACACTTCCTCTAGGTTCCTCTGAGAGGCCAGTAAATAAATTTCCAGACTTCTCGACATGATAGCTGGCAGATAAACTTGATCCTCCAATCGTCACTCTGGTAGCCCCCATATCCTCATCCTGAATAAGTTTACCAATCAGCCGCAATACACACCATATGCAGGAACAATTTCCCCCAGAGGACTTATGACGCAGGAAGGTAATGAGTACACAAAGATTCAAGAAATGGAAGAACACTATTTTGTCCACATCCACACCATAACTGCCTAACAATTTTGTTGACATGCCATAGGTACTGCTCAAAGATATGAGGTTTTGTGATATCCAAAATTCACTTGGCTGGAGAATGGTGTATGCATGGGAACATATACATATCTTTCTCATCTTTCCAACCCATTAAACTACGAGCTCATAAAGTCACATTTTTCAACTTCAAATGCTGAAGCATGAAACGTGCATCTGTCTCCTCGCCACTGTTGTGGACTATACCACAGAACTATCGTTGCTGCTGATTATACCAAAAAGCTGAAGTGATGGGAAGTAAATATCTGTGTACAACTTGTGGCCCTTTTTTCCACTCTTGTCACTAACTGTATGCCAGTATCATGTGTGGCAATCCCATCACCCATGGCATGTTGAAAATCATCTCTATGTATACCATTGTTATCATACAAACAATATAATTTATATAACTTCATGCCACATCAGTTCCCTTCCTTTTTAGCAAACTGGCAGAAAATCACCTTACCCTTGAATTTTACAATTACTTTGTCAGCCAGAAGATGACTGGTGGAACAGTACATCAGCAAATATGGCATTCAGATTACCTGAAACCGTGCTTAACTTCCTGCATTAATATCCATAGTAGTAGTAATGTCATCTCTTTCCTGTCATGGCTGCTGGTAAAATTTACAAACAGGCAGATGTGGAAAAAAATTAATTCACCACATGACAGGAACAGAAAGGGGCATGGCACATTTGGCCCCTTGTGCTGTACTCTTTCAATGAATCAGAACAAGAATTAAATACACTTTTTTCAGTGCAACATCTTCACTTCAGGTAACATTTTTACGTACTGGGCTGTCATCATTAGAAGCACAATAAATGATGACAGTACCTGCTGTTTCATTAACCAAGCATCACCAGAAGAACATTTATAAACAAACAGATTCAATTCCAAGAGAATGGAACAGCACGCAACAGATGTGGTTGCCAGTCCAAGTGACAGACTTGACAATGCAACAAGCACTCATATTTCAGTTGCTTCAAGTCTGCCATGTTCCACTTTCACGCTCCTCTTCCTTCTTACCTCCATTATCTTTCTCAGTCCAGGGGTCCTGATTTGTTCATAATTTGTCACTCTATTCCTCAAGAGGAATTTCCACTTCTGATTTCCATCCAAGTGCAACTCCCTGTCTGTTGCCATGTCACCCATTAACAGACACATTTAGATGACCCTTCCATACCTCACCACATGTGAAATTAACTGGGCTGCTTGTTTACAATTGGGCTACTGGCTATTACTTTCAGTGACAGCTCAAATTATCACTCAGAATTTAAACATTAATGACTAAGTAGTGTTCCTGTCTTTATGTTTTCCCTTCTGGAATTCAATGCATGGGTTTGTCTTTCGGGAATATCTGGCACAAAATCAGAATTGCTGCTACCATCTTCAAGATTAACTCTGAAGATGACAACTGCAATGCTTGCAAAAATACCAGAAAACCTTAAACATTCTATACGACATATTCCCAAATGACATAATCAACTATGTCTGAAACATTACACCAGTAATGGCAGCCTTTAATGGAATCACTATACCATATGCTGCATAAATGCACGTTGAGAAGTGATGTCTTCTAACAAAGAAAGCACTTTTATGAGATATTCAAGTCCCTGTTCCCCTCAAATATAACTGAAATGTTGATCTCATTGTGAAAGTTAAAACATTTTAAATCTCTCATTCCAGCACAGCATGGGTGGTGAAAAATATCTAACACCATGCAAACAAACCTCAAAATTTTTACCTAATATTCAGTGGAAATACTTTTCCAGAAATCGAAGAATGAAAGTGCGGTTCTTGAAGGAACAGTAATATTCTGAGATTCTCATGTGGAGAGGAAATATTCTTATGGCGTAAACATGAAGACACAAAAAAACTAAACACTGACATACTCGTACATAACTCCACATGGTCTTGTATAGCCTGAACAGGTTCCCCCACTTCACTCCTCTAAATTACAGACATTCTGGAGCTCTACAACTACTAACTGCAAAGCTTTACAAACACAATAATTACGAAGAGTACGCTTCTGAAAATGAGAAATGGGGAAGAAATGGCCAATTTTGAGGCACAATTCCAGCATCTAAGAGGGGGCTTCAGAAAACCGCAAAAGACTTCAGTCACTGTACTCAAGTTTCTCAGTCAACATCAAAACAGCACTCTCACAAATACAAAGTTCTCTGAAATACTATACCACTATGTTCACTCCCACAAAAAGTGAAAAGAACACTTAACAGGTTCTACAACTCAGTCTCGTGCATGTTTCCTCACTTATGGAGAGAACGACAGTAATGTCTGTCAGTGACGAATGTTTCTTTACTTGAGGAAAGACCAGGAGGAACATCAGCCAGTGATGAACATTTCTTCACCTTAGGAGAGATAGGAGGAACATCTGTAGGTGACAAATATTTCCTCCCTTCAAGAGAGGGCATGACCATCTGATGGTGACGAATGTTTATGTGCTTTATGAGAAAAAGGTGATGAATGTTTCTTCACTTCTGGTGAAACAAGAGGATGAATGTTTCCTAGCTTTAAGAAAGAACAGGAGTAATCTCTCTTTCTGTTGGCCAACTAAGAAGCACTCTGAATACTGGGCTACCATGAGACATACAAAGCTCTTCATTGCAGGTCTTCAGAAAATCTGTGTAGAGACCACCTGCCCCTTGACAGGAAACAGTACAAACTGGTAACAGGCCCCTTTGCAGAGATGGCAACTACATGTTATGGGCCACTCAGAAAACACTACATGCAGGAAATGTGGGCAGGAAGAGAGGTTTTCATACCTTCCAGCCCATGCTAGGCATAGAATGAATATCTTCAGCTCTGCACAGGTGAAGTGCACAAATATTAGAAGAGCGTCAATCAAACAGGTTCTGCCTCTAGCATTGAGGGCAGGGCCTTTTGATAGCCACTAGTGAAAACAAGGGGGGACAATGCACCCAACAGTGGTCTGAGTGCATGGGGCAAACAGAGATCCCCGTCTATGACAATACTCAATAACCAGTGCCTCCTGCTATAGAGAGAGAAAGGGAGTAATGTCTACTCGTAACATTTCCTCACTTTTGGAAGCAACAGGAATAATGTCTCCTGCTGATGAAGACAGGACGCAACTAAGATCTACCAGTAATGTTTCCTTGCTTCTGGGGGCAACAGGAGTAGTGTCTATAACGTGTAATGCAACTATATGAATGGCTGTGAAATCCTAACCAATATTATTTCATAGTGAACTAACACCATTCTACTCTGTAATGCCTCATTTCAAATGGAAGGTCTGACTCGTGATTCAGTGACCAGTGTTTGCTTCAGATCCTTTACCTGTACACGAACCTACTGGTCTAACAAAGCAACAATATAAATAATCAGACTACAATGAACTATGCTGTATTTAAATGTTAATGCAACAGACAAAAAAATCGAACTGGGACAGCCAGCTCAACTGATGTTATTTCTGCCTTTCATTCGGCAGGTGTTGCTTCAAATCCTGGCTAGGATACTGATTATCCTGACTAATGGTTTCCCTCAGTTCCTCCTGTTTACAGAACAAGGTTAGAGTGCAGATCTTACGAAAGAGTTAATGAATTTAACAGAGGGATTTCTGAAGTGACACTAGATATCTGAGTCTCAGTTTGATGTTTTACAGGGCAGCAAAGAACACTTGCTTTGAGACAACTATAAATATTCCTAGACTCCGGCAGCCCTCAAGGATATGTAAGCAGTATTGCCCCTAAGAAGAGGAGAATTTAATGATAAATACTCAAATACTCTCTGATTCCTAGAGAAACATTTTAGAAATGGTACAAAAGAATTCTGCCTTTGCAAATTCAATGTTTTTAATGCTATGGTGATGCAATAGGACTGTGTATTCCTATTTGGCTGGCTAAAGCTACATGACATGGGCAAAGATCTTCCCTTTTGGCAACTAAAGGTTAAGTGTACTTCATGTTGCTCAAAAATCCATGGCACATCTGTTCAGACTGATAACATATAAATCCAGAGCTGGCAGTATACAAAACCGCCTATTAGATGATCAATTTCTTATTTTACATTTAACTACAAGAACTGCAATTACATGATCAATTATTTATATTACAGTCAACCAAAAATTTGCAACTACATGATCAGTTACCTGTATGAGCATGACAGTTAACCAAACAATTGCAGCTAAAAATAAAGGTCAAAATACGGTTGATTTTTTTCTGAAGCAGGGGAGTGTAAATGAAGTAAATGCATAAATTATGAGAGCAAATGTTGCAGTCATACATAAAAAGCTGATGAATTTTTATTCTACAATACTACATGTAGACTGTTTACATGGTTAGAAAATATCAATTCAATGCTGAAGCATAAATTTGGAGTCAAAGTGATTACTTGAATCTCATCTTACTGGCCTACGAGAAACACAGACTCTAAACATTCTATATTATTTTATCAATCCATGAATATGAGTACTACTGCAAGTTTTCCCTGGTGCATCTGTTACTTCTGACACTCTTACAGCTATCAGCTATCTATCTGCTGTTTCTGTGGTAGAGAACCATAGCAACCAATCAGAGACAAAATGAAACATCATACAATGTTTCCACACTGTTCCTGACGTGCATCAGAATGAGGAATGAAGCATTTCCTTGCATGAAAACGTTAATTTCTATTAAGGAGCAGGTATGCAAAAAATATGGGACATTCACATCATTAAGTGTTAACTCTCCTTGTCACCACATATTTTGCAGTCTCTCTCTTACGTCATGTTGTGTCTGTTAAAGTAAAGTGAATACCATTTCACTCTATTATTGTGAGAAACAATTCAGTATCCCACAAACAAAAATTCTGCAGCTTTCTTCCTGTAATGAACTCATCATATTATTTGGAAGATACATAATAGAAGACTTAATCATCTGAAGAGTAAAATCAAGAAAGCAATGACACGGGTATTCTTTTGTCCACTTCTCCATCACATAGACTTAACATGTCTTTTCCTTCTATCCTCCAAGTTTATAATCTAAGATGTAAGCTCTATACCTCTTGCTCCTGAAGCCCATCCATTATTTCCTCCAGATCTGCCTCACTCTTGATACGTGCTCCAACGCGGTTGAACCTTTCTCGATCTTCCCGTTGCTTTCGCAGCTCAGGGAAAACTTTTTCAAAGAATTCACGATTCTTGGCTTCCTTTGCCTTGCGTTTCTGTGATGCTTCCACTTTCTCAACTTTCCTAAGCCATTCTTGCATAAGTTTTGAGTATGTGGCAGTCAGGTACTTCTCCCGGCCCTCACGCTCCGAATGTTTCCGCTTGAAATACTCCATCAAACGTCTCTTGAATGTTAAATGCCTGCACACATGATCAGTTATCAATTCCATATCTTAAAAAAATTAGACATGATAAAACTGGTGGTTGAAAATATACACAATTAAAACCACAACACATACTAATAATAAAGAGGAATATGCTAACAACTATACAACAGAGTACTGTTTAGTTCAAACATTAAAAACTGAAGATCTCTAAACATTTTATGTTATATCTTCAAAAAAATAATGAAAGGCCATTACCAGTATAAAAGTTCTATATCTAAGACTTGTCATATTTTATAAGGCCTTAAACTCAATGAATTAAATGGACACGGTTTAAAGATATTTCTTCAGAATAGCAAAATAAATGATTTTTGTAACTAAAGCGAAATTCTTTCTGCTACAACATGCATAATGGGTTTACCATTCATCTCTTTACCCCATTCACTTGACCATTTTGCCAAAAAAAGGCAAGCTCTTTCAATAGCACCTTTTAACATACTTTTAAATACATAAACAAACAATACTCCATATCTTAAATATGAAGAACAGTTTCCCAGCAATCCTTGCTCAATCATCTGCCACCATTGCTACGAATTACAAATGCAGCTTTGAAGGTTATTAATTTTTTAAATTGAAGCTTTCTTATAATTTTAACCGATGATAAACTCTTCACCACACTGAAAATTCCAAACTATGGTCATTTCAACCTAGAGAAAGTTACACTAAAAATTTCTAACTGCAGGACTGAATAAGTAATAAGTACTAAGTAATGAATAAGAGAAGAGAAGTCTATTTCTACAATCGCATCTCCCTATCCACCAATGCCTCTTCTTCAAATACTGCCATTTTCTGTAGCAGCAGGAGTGGAAGTAATAGCTTCATTACTGAAAATCTAGGTTTGCCTTGTAATCACCAACATCCCCTACAAATTGTCTCCAGCGACTTCTCACCACAGGCCCAGGTTCAATACCAGAGTATTTCATATGAAATCTGTGATGGATAAAGCAGCACAGGGGCAGGATCTCCTCCAAGAACTTTGGTTTTCCTCTGCTGATTAGCATTCCACTGGTGCCCTGTATGCACTTATCATCAGGAGCCGGTACAATATGCACATTTGAGGACACAAGACAACAGGACTCAGCAGCCACTCCTCTAGCTTAAAGTCCTGCATCTCATGTTTCTATCTCTAAGTCATGCTGCCTCTTCTCTCCTTCCAGTATCAAATACTCCTTTGTATTATTACTCCTATGTCTCCAAAATGGAGACCCTAAGTTACAATGTCCCTCCAAACAAGCTACTGAATGTTTTAATATGATCCTTTAAATTTCTATGGATGTATCTTACAAACACAGGTCTTCCTTCAACTGAAACCAGAATTACAACACACAACCACATGACCCAGCCCCACCCTTCAATTGCTACTTCAGACAAAAAGTTTGAAACAAAACTGAGTATTACATACTTTCTTTTATTTTCATGATAAACTGCTGTATCTGAAGGTTGGTTGTACAGAGGCTGAAAGGAAACAATATAAGTTTAATTAAATACACACACAACAGAAACATCATCTTCTAAAGCAAGTTCAACAGAAATATCGTCTTTTAAAACAAGCTGCAACACTTGTTTTGTAATCATACAATGCAATATACAGAAGACTGTTTATTGAAAATCAGAAGTAACCATTCAACATAGCAGTTCTGATTACTTAACCACAAATTCTGTGCAGAACTTCAGTAACTACTCTGTCTAAAGTAAAATGTGGACATGGCTCACCAGTTCAACTTTAGGCCCCAGTCTCTCCAACAGTGAATGCGCTTCTTGGGCCTTTTTCTGAAATAAAATGACGCCTTCATTAAAATTTTCTGCTGTGATATATTTCTTAACGGCTACTCTGGCTAAATACCTTGACATGACATCTTCTCCTAAAAACACCATTATTAAACATTACAGCATGGCACTCTTCCACTAGTGTGGCTTAATACAGTGAAACCACCACCTAAGGTATCTCAGCAAACATGAACTTTAAAATCTTTAACAGAAGAAAACTGAAGTACAATGACTGACCTGGAACCTTAAAAATGACCATTAAATGAGGGGAAATCTTAACTCGTGGATTATTAAATGGGAGTTCCACTGTATACATTATGAGTTAGTCTTCAAAAACAGATGGAGACTATTCAGTCACGTCTATACATAATAAAAAATATATTTGTCATCCATCCCTACTGACTGAACTAGAATAATTAGTATCCAATGATTTGTGCCACTTTCTCATGCTTTACATTAACAACCCTCCAAACAGGAGAATTACATCTGGAACACTGTGCATCCAACCAAAATTATAATTATAGGAGCTTTAGATAACAGCCAGCCACGTGTAAAACGCGAGTGCTACATTATATCAGCAAGAATGGTCAGAGAAGCTTGCAAAACAGTTTGGAGTGTTTTGAAAAAGACTGGATAAATAGTACTGAAAATTATCAAAGCAAATTCTTAGGCATATATTGTACATATTATATTGTCACGTGTTGGGTATGTCAAGCGACAAATAACTTCACGTGGGTCTCAGATCTAGCAAATCTTTATTGGATACTCACTCTTACACACCTTACAATTATTATTACTTGCAATGTCACTTGACTTCTGGCCCAATACTCCAATGCGACATCTCAACTATCCTTGGCCGTGGTTGGACCTCAACTGTCTTTGGCAGAGGCTATTCCAAGACTGTCTCGTTCTCAGTACTCTAATATTCCAGTACGCAATACTTCAATACTCTAATACTCCAATACTCAATACTCTGTATGTGTCATAAGCTCTGCTTAGGGGTTATGCGGGCTAGATACCAGACACCATTCCTCACTGTTCCGTTGCCGCTGTTCAGAGAGTCCGTTGTTACAACAACGCTCTTTATACATTACACCGGTAACGTGTTTTGCCTCATCCCTTGTTACTCATTGACAATTCGTTGCTATGATTTGTCGCTGCGGGAGTTCCACAATTTCCACGTATTTGTTGTGGTGGAAGCATCTGTTCCGATTGTAGCGGCTGTCACGGTGGTGGACATAAGGTGACGCGTCACAATATATTACTTTTGTATCAAACTAATTAAGAACCATTCAGAAGCATTAGTAAATGAGACACAACCTCCAAGCACTACCAATCTGAACCACACACAATATCTGCCTCTTGAAAAATGAAAGACAACAGTGACAAAGACTCATGCACAAGTCTCTGTGGACCACTGTTCTTACTATAGCACATTGCTTATTTAAGATTGCACCTCTTGGGTCAACATTTTAAGGAACCAAGTGACTATTTCGACGTCCCCATGTACAAAATCCTACGCTTCATTCGAAGCACAGGATTGTTGAGGGGATAATCAGAAGGGGAGGCACAATAGATCACTGTGGTAGCGGTTCAAGGGCCAAGAAGGCCCACCCCTTATTTATACATACATACATACATACATTCATTCATTCATTCATTCATACTATGGCATGTAATAACTTACCCTGTTTTCAGCATAGATTTTCTGAGCAGGGCTTTGGTGCTTTGGTTGTGCTATCTCTTCCTCTTCCTTTTTTATTGATGGCTTGTTTGCTGTCTCCTCTAACTCCTGCTGCTTCTTCTTCAGCTTGCAGATCTGTGATTCCACCTTTGCAATCTCCCGATCCACCTTCCCAATCTGCTGCAGCAGGTCATCCTTGGTAGCACGAAATGCAGCATCCTCTTGCATTGAGTCTGGTGGCAAAGTTGGTGAGATAGCTTCCACCTGTGGGTTGTATGCAGGCTGCTCCTGTATCCAAATATAAATGCATTTCACTTAGCGACCACATAGATCTAGCACTTGGAAACTGATAATGGTCACTTTCTGAGAAGGAATTTGCATTATATAAATCCAAGATTTACAACAACAAAAAAACAGTAGTACAGCATACCTATTCAATGTAACCTAACAAACCAAAATGTAACCTGCAGATATTTCCAACAGTATTTGCACCTATATATTTTGAAAATTATTTAGAACAGTATTTAAAAATATTACCGAAACAAACAGAATACAATTAAAAAGCAACTTTTGCTTTAAATAAGTAAACATCTCTGTGCAACTTCAGCCTATAAGGAGAGCATAAAATTTCCACAGACATAACCTTCAGTTTTGGGGGTATGGATTCCAGGCAGAAGTGTATGCCATTAAGGTATGTGCAGCAGATAATACAGGTAGGGACTACAAAACCAGAAACATTCATATTAAAGCGCTTGACAATTACCAGATCAATTTTAAATGGGTCTGGGAATGCCATCAGTCCCTTATGAAACTGGAAGAACATAACAGAGTTTAACTGGAGAATCACAGACAATGATATTACCAATCAGTGGGCAAGAACAGGATAATAACATCCATATATATAGGCCTTGAATCAGCATGTGGAATCTCAGCAAGAGTTGTCAAGAGGGCTATCAAAGGGTGGATGAAAAGACCATAAATATTTGCAGATAGAACCTTGATCAATTTTACTCTAGAATCCAAGCTATGTGAATGTAATTCTTAACCATGGTCAAAAGCGTAGTTAACGATACTTTCCCACTGTCCACTTTGCATATCCATGATGCCACTCATTTGCCACATTTACATCATTCAGTTCACTGTTTCCAACGAACATTGCAATGCTTACCCTTGTATCAATCCTGAGTGGCTGCTGAACTTCGGGCTTCAGCTCCCCAAAACGTATCTTTTTGAAGGGAGGCCCCAACTCAAGCTGAACAGCTGTTCCACTTGTAGGTACCACTGGCCCCATACCATCTCGATACTGTTCTGCCCTGCAAATACATATCAGCCATTCTTCATTATCAAAGCAAGATATTATATATCAGATGTGGAATAAAAATCTGTAAGGTGACATGCAACAAGGGGTAGCTCCCAATTCAGCTATCAACATGACAATGTCAAAGGCACTATTTATCAGCTCAGATGCTTCTACAGCTCATCTCACTTTTCAACATATCAATCAATCAAAAAAGGGTTTTTCTATGTCTTACTACAACCCTTTACAAGAATTAAACTAAGGCAACCCAACAGTGTAAGAAAACTCCAAGTATCTGAAAATAAACAGAACATACTTCACTGACCATGGTTAAGTGACCTATAATCATAAATTATCGGGGACAGTAACAAAACACAAATATACCAGAGTCTCAAAAGTCAAACACCACATTGAAACAATTTTTATGATACCTTTTAGTTCAAAAGTAAATGTGTTAATTCTGGATGCTGAACTTTCATTAAAAGGACACAGAAGGTAAGGTAAGGTAAGGTAGAGCTGTCCCTGTGCTTAACTAATTAACACAATGAAGACATGGGGGAGTGAGTGTACAGAGCCACAGTTTGACCTCAGCACTGGTTGGAGATGGGTGGTCAGCTTCACGCCCCAACCGCTTTACCCCCGAGGAAAGAACCCACTGATACGCACCGGATAGGAGGCTGGGTGGGCCCAAGAGCTGGTCTGGATGATATGGAGAAAATTCTTGACCCTACCAGGACTTTAACTCTGACCCTTCAGTCATCCAGCCTGTAACTGGGACTAAGAAACCAAGGAATATTTGAATGACCTTGTTCTCTTTCATATCTGGGTGGGAATTCTGATATATGACTGCAAAATCCATTCTAGAGGGAAAAGTAGCCTAAATTTTATGTCCGGAATATCAACTGAATATTTACGTAGAATCAACTACATCATATTGTAAACTGAAAATAAAATCAATTCATGCGCACCAAGTTGATTACACAGCTATCACAAGGTCCATTAACTGTTTCAGGGAAAATGGAAGCATCCAAAATAACTCCACAGCAGCAGGCCAAAATGTGAAATTCATGATGCAACTGCAACAGCTGCACTGAGTCTACCTTAATATAAATCTGTTGGCAACTGTCACAACAGTCATAAATCAGGCTAATAATGATTATATTTCCAACAAGAAGTTCTGGTAAAAACTGTCTACTTTTCTTTGGTACAACACACTCTACATAGAAAACAATAACTTTAAGTATTCTTAGATCTGCAAGAACCCTGCTTACTGAGCCTCTGCCTACCAACAAAAGGGGAATATATTTACAGACCCATAGACTCTCCTCTGATATGACATGGACTGCAGAGAAAATGACGCCTTCAGCAATCTTCACTGCTGTGTGCATTTTTTTGCCATGGGAACATATCTACTAAGCCACTACCTAGCAACTACATGAGGAATACACATACAGACAGACTGAAGAGACTTATGAAGTATGCTGTTAAGATGGACTCAGGTGCCATGAACACATTCCAAGTTCCAGAAAACTGGTTCAGGCACTCAAAAATGTATAGGATAGGATATAAAGGTACAGAGAGACAGAGCAAGGCGATCTCATAAACCTCCGTGCTACCAAGGGAGCACACATCGAGGTCTACTGAGGTCAGCAAAAAACTTCCAGAGTTTCACTATCTGCCGCAAACCGCATGTGGCTAGCTACATTTGTTTGTGCGCCACAATTTTTCAAAACCCTGACGCGACTTTGTGGACACACCATACACATTTATCTTTTCTTTGTGCAAAGATGTAAAAGACAATAACAATGGTAATTACATATGCAATATGCTATATTAAAAATTATGCATTCATCCATTTCATGGAGTACACAACACTATATATTGCCAAACACTAATCTTACAATCATCATCACCCAGTAACTATTGTAACCAGGGTGGTAATGTTATGATAAAAGCCCATTTTTCTCCTCCGTCCCGTCACAAAAGGAGCCGGGACAGCGCAGTCGGTATAGCAACTGCCTACGGGCTTGACGACCAAGGGGTCGCAGTTTGAGTCCCAGTATAGGCAAGAATTTTCTCTTCTCCAAGTTGTCCAGACTGGCTCTGGGGTCCACCCAACCTCCTATCCAATGGGTACCAGGGACTCTTTCCGTGGGGATAAAGCGGTAGGGGCGTGAAGCTGACCACTCACCTCCAACTATTGCTGAGGTCAAGAAAATGTGGACCTATACATCCGCTCCCACATATGCCTTCATGGCGTAGTGCTTAATTAGTTAAGCATAGGGACAACTTTACCTTTTACCCCTCACAAATCCTGCAACTTCCTGTGTCCACTCTAAGATTATGGTTTTCTTAAATATGATGCGATGTAGTTAGGTAGCTAACCAGCGGCCTCCGTAGTCTAGAGGTAACGTTCCCACCTCATGACTCAAGGTACGCGGGTTCAAACCCGGCGGAGGTCGTGGATTTTTAAGGGCGGAAAATTTCAGGGAACAAGTCCTCCAGGAGGGACTTTAAGCCGTGGGTCCCGTGTCGTAGCTTCACGGCACGTAAAAGAACCTCATGCCTCAAGGAGGCCTCTGAGCCAATTATAAAGGACATTTCCCGCCCAACAATAGTCTCTAATGCCTCTGGTAGATGGGGGAAGCATCGAGATACTGCTGAGCCAGTAGAGGCCGAACTCGCTGGCTGAGTCGGGACTGATGGCACGCACCAGTACTGGTAGGGTATAGAGACTGGTAGAATATCACAGGGGAACGTACAATAGACCACTGGTCGCGGTGCATGGGGAAACCCACCCTCTCCAATAATAATAATAAATAATAGTAGGTAGCTACCCACTAAATTACATGGCATGGCATCTCATCTCAAAAGACCATAATATTCGCTGCTGTGAGATCCTCAGATTTCATGTTCACTTTGCCCTTGTCCTCTTTCATATAGCTCCCTCAGTCTACTTACCTAGTCCTTAGTCTCTCAATAGCTGTTTATTTTACACCTGTATTCAGATTGTCAGATAATTGTCAGATAAAAATATTAGATCAGTACATAAAGCAAAGAACTTCTGCTTCTTGGTTTCATTGTAACATAAAGACAGTCCCCATTATTGCTGTCAAATCTATGCTTTTGTTGCATTCCTCTTGCTTGACTTCTGGTGTGCCATGCATACAACCACATGACAACCTGCACAGGAGCCCCCTCAACCCTTTTCATTTGAACAAACCTCATGAACCTGGTTTATTTATTTTGGGAACTTGACTTAGCATGAACAATACATAAGATCTGTGGGTCATGAATGTCAAACAAAATACTGGTTGTATCTGTAGTGTACAGAAATAGTTAAGTCAAAACTGGTCAAAATGAGGTAAGTGCAACACAAAATTCTCAATGTTAGAAGAAACAAACTAAAACCATGTTATGCCTCTATGCATATACTTTCAATTCAGTGACATAATGACATACTAAGATAAATGCAGCACTGAAATAACATCTAACGCTGCTTCCTGTTCTGCACAAAGCAACATTTCATGGTTTCTCTCTTTTCTGTAACACCAAAGGTTCATAGCAGGCAACATTGGGCCTGAAATTGGAACTACAAATCTACAGGTTCAGCTTGGGAACAGCAATGTTTACACACACATCTGACCTACTGTATAACATAAGTATTTCCAGCTAACTTTCATCTCTCCCTTCCACAAACCCAAGCACATGCCATACAATGCTTACAAGGACTCACATTTAACATGGGTCAAATCTTCAAATAAAATTTCATTCACTGTATAAAGATTAAAAGGCCGTAGGCTTATGGATTTAGTCTAAAGGCCTATGAGCATTTAGCAGCAATGATAACAAAGTAACAACAAAAACAACAGCACATTCAGGACCAGCATACAAATGTGACGGTAGACAACATATTGTAACCTGGTTAGTGGCCTCAGTAGTCTAGAGGTAACGTTCCCACCTCATGACTCGTAGTACACGGGTTCAAATACCCGGCGGAGGTCGTGGAATTTTTAAGGGCGGAAAAATTCAGGGAACAAGTCCTCTGGGAGGGATTTTAAGCCGTGGGTCCCGTGTCGTAACTTTACGGCACGTAAAAGAACCTCATATCTCCAAAGGAGGTCACTGAGCCAAATTAACGGACGTTTCCCGCCCAACAGCAGTCTCTAATACCTCTGGTAGATGGGGGAAGCATTATAGATACCTCTCAGCTAGTAGAGCCGGTCTCGCTGGCTGGGTGGGACTGATGGTAAGCACCAGTACCAGTAGGATATACAGACTGGTAGAAATCATAGAGGGAAGCACAATGGAACAATACAGGTCTCAGTGCATGGGGAAACCCACCCTCTCCAATAACTAACTAACTAACTAACTAACTAACTATTGCAACCTGGCTGTTACAAAGTCTCGATACCGATACAGTTTCTAGTCCCAGTCGGTGACAGTACTTACTGCTGTATCCTAGTACGAGGAAGAGCAGCCAGGTATTCAGTAGTATGTGGCGGAAGCAATGAGATGCGTGGTCTCAGCTGGGATGGAGGTCCCTCTGCTCGTCCATATTCCACCTGTGGCTGCTGTTGCTGTGACTGATGCTGCTGCTGCTGCTGCTGTTGTTGCTGTTGCTGTTGTTGCTGCTGCTGTTGTTGTTGCTGTTGCTGCTGCTGCTGTTGTTGCTGCTGCTGCTGCTGGCGTTCAACCACCGCCTGCTTGAGAAATCATAAACATAAATTCATACACATACACGATTTCACTTCTATGGTTTAGCATTTACATGGACATGCTCCTTTTATCCTATTTTCCTTAGCATATAAGAGACCAGATGCCCATGGAAACATCACATCCAACCATTTGTCTGTCTGTCTGTCTCTCTGTCTGTCAGTCTGTGTGTTGGTCCAACTTTGGTGGCTTCTGAACTATCAGCTCAAGAAATTTTGTGTGAATATCATGTCATCGCCTTCATACAATTCGGTATCCTATTATCAATAACACCAAAGCTGAGGTCACATCACTGTTACTTAATACAAGATCTAGAAATCTGGTATGTTAATAAATGCCCAAAAAAGTATGTAACGTTCAACAATATTTTGCAGAATGTAAAAAACATGGTGGCTGTGCAAAATTTTCATGGCAAAACCAGTGAGCCATTAGAGCTAGTCATGTGAAATTTCAGGGGTGAGATTGTAAACACGTCTACAAATTTTTATATAAAACTTTATTCTATGCATCAAAATTTAACACATGGTAACAGTAAAGTAAGTTAAAGCTTAGGAATATAAATGCAGAAATGTAGAAATTTTATATAAAACTTTATTCCGTGCATCAAAATTTAAAAAATGGTGACAATAAGGTACGTTAAAGCTTAGGAATGTAAATATAGAAACGTAATGTAAAGGAAGTTAAAAATCCGTTAACACGATACGTGTTTATTGAGCCGTTACCTAGCAGCGGACAATTTCTTCTGACTCCATTATTCCAGCCTTTCAGCTGCCATGTCACACTATTTATATCTGTACATTCAGGTTTCCCCTTGCATCTAGGTCATAAATAGTCTTTGCTGGAGATCCTTCTTCTGTGAGTCATGTATACAATTACATTTACATAATTGTAATTCATACAATTGTAATATTTGCGAAACATATATTATAGTTGTATTCTAGTAGTTAAACTGATGGCAATTTATTAATGCTATCCCCCCCACCCAAAAGTTGAGCTTATTTGTGAAACAACTAAAGTGATACATAATGGCACACGTTGATCAACCATTTCCAAATTTGAAATCACTCACCCATTCACTCAAAGCACTTCTTAAACATCTTTTGTACACTATGAAGAAGTGTCCTGTCTGGCTTACCGGGTTACGGGGCACAGTGTAAGGGTTTTCCCTGTAGGGCACAGCACCCCCATATGGAGACTGTTGTACATAGCGCATTGCAGCGGCAGTGACCTCACGGGTCCCAGCAGCTGCATAACCAGGATATCCAGTAGCCCCAGGTCGTCCTGAACCTGGTGACAGTGGTGAAGCAGCACTGGGGACAGCTGATGGGCGTTGTGGTTTGTATGGTGAACCATCACCCGGTTGCGATGCCCTGCAACAACACATAAAAACAATTGCAAATTAATATTAGTATTGCATTAGCAAACAGTAAGTGTCCACACTCATACTTAATGCAAGTAAACACAATAACACCTTCACCCACAATTACACTGAAATCTCCTGCTAATTGCACAGGTGTTCTCAGCTACTGGAAGTGATGATACACACAGCAGAGCTGTCAAGAGGCGAAAGTTACACATGTGCCAGTGCATTTATACGACACTGGGGCCAAAACGGAGCGCGAGGATGCAGGGTATATATTATTTTTTGGAAAAAAAATGGCACTGTGTACTATAAAAACATACAAACACAGAACTTCTATTTTTGTTTCTTGTTTCTTAATGCTGACCTAACACAGGACATCCAAATGTGTTATGAAATTTGATCAGTATTCTTGTCAAAGTTCATCACGATGTATTGCAGAAATGTCGCTGGAGGTGATTCGAGTGCACATTCTCAACATATTTACGTGAGCAAAATTTGAGTTTATTTAATGACATCCTTGATTAGGTCTAGCCACAGTACAGTATACTGCGATATTGACAAGAAAATCATACCACAACCAAAGAGGGGTACTCCTGCTTGCATTCTAGTCTCTAAATCTCACCCAGGTCCCTCGTGCTATTCCTCTCTCTCCAAATGCCAGGGCAGTACCTTGAAATCGGTCAAAATTTCGTTCCAAACCCCTGCCCGCAAGCGCACACATACACAGTCACTACGTTCAAACAGGACAGGTAAATGACCTTAAGAATCGATCAACCATAATACATATGAAAGCTCTTCTGTGTGAAATTTACCAATGAAAAACTGAATCGCAATGTACCCACTGCTTTCTTGTAAAACTGGGTGTTCTCACTTTTAGAGACAAATTGCAATTGAATGCGTGTGTGTGCGCGCGTTCAAACAGTTTGTCCTTAATGGAAGAAGCTGCATTATAGACATACTAACAAACACGCACGTCAACTAGAATTCGGGGTTCTTGTCGAATTATCACATAATGATTGTCTGGCGAATTTGAAAGTGTGAAGAGAATGAAATAGCAGCCTCTTTCGAGAACGTATCAACGGCATTTTTCCGGAAGGACTTAGGAAAAGCAACAAAAACCTCTTGATAATCAGGTACTAACACAATGCAAATCAGCAGTTCCATGTGTTTGGTGACAACACTCATCCAACCAACATATTCTACACGTATTTATTTATCATCTTAAAACCGGAGGCTACTTTTCAGATTTCGGGTTACTTGCGAAGAAGCAAGATGATCATGTATAATCGGTACCTGTAACCCCCACCCCCAAGAAAAATTGCTCAATATTACCCGACAACATACACATTTCTTTCAGGTCACTCACTCGCTCTCTCTCACACACACAGAAACACTGCAGACATTTAAACATTTTTGTTGTAGTTTGGTACTGGTTTCGTTTTCAATGTACAGGAAGAAAATATAACTTGGAAAAACTAGCTGTTTTGGGTTCGTGTACTGAATTGGGCGTTGCCTCAACTACAAAACTGTGGCATCATCCAAGTGACTGACGTCATCGTAATGAAAGACAATCCTTTCCACGCAAGCATCACCAGGGTTGCTCCGGAACAAGCTGCAATCCCCAATACTTCCACGTGGACCTGCTTCTGCTCGCGCCTCGCGTGTAACACAGAGGGGAGTCGCAGCCGCCGCGCATCCGTTTCTAGCGAATCTACAGGATATGTCTAAATGCTGAAAAGGATTCGCACTGTCAATATAAATTCCGTGGTAACTGAGACGGACGAAACCGTTAAAATCTGTCAAACTGACAGCAAAACATTATTAAACTGTCAAGAAAATAAAGTCAATGTATTTAACCCGACTGCAGCCTACTCAATCATTTCCGTCACACAAAAAAAATCGGATAATGGCGATGGGACGGAAGAAACGTCTGATAATGTTTGCACCGTACGGATTAAACACTAATATTTAAACATTTCAATGGCTGAACTGACGTGCAGTAATAAAAAAACTGTACATCGGCCTTCAAGTCTCATGCTTATTGACTGAATGTCTCGATTTTATGAGAAAATGCGTCACGAACTTCAATTCAGATCATATTGTAATTAATGTCTTAATGCATGGCATAAGACATGGCAAGATTTTTCTCTTCTCCACACCGTCCTGACCGACTCTGGGGCTCATTCAGCCTTCTATCCAATGGGTTCCGAGGGCTCTTACCCCAGGGGTAAAGTGGCCGGAGCGTGAAGCTGACCACTCGCCTGCATCCATTACCGAGGTCAAGAGGTCCACCCCCCATATGTCTCTCCATGGCACAGTGCTTGACTAAGCACAGGGACAACTTTACCTTATGCGTGGCATAATCGAAGACCCTGGTGATGACAAATTCTTGCCGAAACGCTTACGACTAATAAAACATTAGACAGAACTGAACGACTTATAATGTATGCATAAAAGCCTGTTAATGTGTGTTTACTTGAAATGCGAACTCTTTGTGCTTGACAGTACTGCGGCCTTGAACCATTCTACATTGCGTGTACACGTTTTCGCGCCTTGTACAATTTGAATCCCTTTCAAGCTACAATACAAAGAGGGACCCCAAAAAAATGTATACACTTCAGGGTACAAAATACGTATCTGCTTAAATAATTTATTGGTACACCATCAGTTTAATTTTGAAGACGTCCGCAGATAACCTGCATAACAAACTTATGCGAGGTTATCTACAAACAGTTTTGAAGTTGAACAATCCTTCCAGCCGCACTATGGCCTTGGGGTCGACTCAGCCTCTAACAGAAATGAGTACCAGGAATTAAATAAATAATTTTCCTGGGGAGTAAAGCGCGGCCGGCGCGTAAAGCTGACAACCTTACCGCCATCTTTGAGCCGATTGTCTAGATAATGTGGGACCCTCAACATCTCACAGCCCTATGGGCCTTCACGGTCTGTTACAGGGATAGCTTTACTTATTTTTTTCCTTTTTACCGAAGACATACCACTAAATTACTTAAGCATATATTTTGTACAGTGAAATGAGTATACATTTTATTGAGCCCTCTGTATTAACCTGAACTGTTTTTGACTTTATGATGATGTTTCGGTTAAAATTTCAGACAGGTAAAAGGAACTGCAAAGGAATGCGTAGACAGAAGGGAAGGAGATCAAAAATACAAATGGGATTAAGGAAAGAAAGGAGTGGGGAATAAAAATTGTTTTCCTGGAGACTTCCCTGCACATGCGATAAAGAAAACATGGTAAGATTACCAAATTCCTTACTAAGTAACCGAGGGACGAGTCAGAGATGAGGGTCCCGAACTTAGGTCACCGAGGTTGGGATAATGCGTTGCATGGTCAGGCCATCGCATACCTCCGGGAGAGAGGGCAGATTGATTTGGAGCACAGATGGTAAGGTAAATTCAAGCTGGAAACCCGAAGAAGCTCAGAGAAAACCAGCTCCAGTGCCACTTCTTCAAACGCGGGCCCCACCACAATTTGGCAGTGATTAAACCTGAGGCTCTGCGGTGAGATGCCGCAATTTGGATCAAGCATTTATTAATTCTTAGACGCTCAGGCTCATTTACCTTTCCCATAAGGCAATACGGCCACGATATGGACGCATGTGTCCCAGAGCTACATGAACTGACCTTAAAACTGAAAACAAGTGCAAATCAGATGCCAGGAGACAAGTTCATGCAATCTCCAATCGTATACACAAACCTGGTCTCGCTCTATCCCACTTCAACGCGCATCCGCTGGCAACGGTCACTCTCGACGTGTAACGGTACATCCCCAACTAAAAATGATTTCACGCGCACAAGTTAAACGCAATATGCATCTTAAAATTAATGGAGTTATGCTGTAACCAAAACTCCGTCACTTACTCCACATATTCAGCTCTGGCGTTCTTTGCCTGACTTGCAATTTCTTTTTAATATTATTGTAATGACACATTCCTGTGAAAAAGAGGCTCTGTTCAAACCCAACAAGCCTGTACAACAGGGGCCACATCGGAGAACGGGAAGTATTGATTTAAAGTCTGGGAATGGGGCTCGAATCCTGATTCCGGTTTTAATTACGCCAGCAGACTTTAATTTATTTTAATGCTTAAATACTTGGATGAAAATTCTTCCCCGAGGAAGAGACTCGGTCGCCAATATTCTCATTTAGCACAGGAAGCAGTTCACAAATGTCATCACTGCATTCATGTCTGCGTGCATGATTTCAAAATTCAGCCTAAGGCAGACACTGTTGTATATTTATTTCTCGCAAAGCCATGAATTCTTCTGTCCATTTACAACTGTACACAACGCTCCCCTTTGTCAAAATCACGTGGTTGGTGTATTCACTGTCACACCGTGCGCTGCAGATTAACGTGTTGGGCGCTTCGGCTGAAGTTCACAGCGACTTAAATAAACGCGTGATGACTTGTTTTAGTGCAGGAGTGCTCTCCAGAAACGTAAAAATTAGAATATACAAAACTATACTTTTGTCTGTGGTTCTGCATGGGTGTGAAACTTGGTGTCTAACATTAAGGGAGGAACACGGACTGAGGATATTTGAGAACAGGGTGTTGAGAATATTTGGACCGAAAAGGGATGAAGTGACAGGAGGCTGGAGAAAACTGCACTTCTCCACGTATAAATGGAATGGTCGAGGATGAGATAGGCAGGGCATGTAGCACCATCAAGGCAAGCGGAATACATGCAGGATTTTGGTGGGAAGGCCAGAAGATACCACTAGGAGACCAAACCTTAGGTGGAACGATAATCTTAAAATGAACCTTAGAGAGATTGGGGTGGTATGGATTGGACTCATCTAGCTCAGGATACAAACCAGTGGCAGGCTCTTGTGAACATGGCAATGAACCTAATGTTCCGCAAAATGATGGGAAATTCTTGAGTATCTGCTTCCCAAGACGGGCGCAGCTCCAAGGAGTTAGTACCAATGCCAAAACAGCGGAACGGTTCATATGCTTAGCATTCCTATTAAGAATCCGAATTTATGATC